TTTTTTTTCTATTTGAAACTACGAACACACAAACATAACCTTTATTATCTGGAGACATAATGAAAATAATGATTTGGTTCTGCGACTTTTCAGCTCCTCCAGTCATGTTTTCAGGCTGGAGGCCAAAGTAAACAAAGTGCGGTGCAACCATTTAGCCTTGGTTTGACAGTGAGAGTGAATCTCTGCCTTTTCAACGTGAATGCATCTTCTTTTCTCTTTACTTTAGACGAACAAAAGTTTCATTCAGAAAGTGTTTTCCTGTAAAGAATAATGAAGAAAAAACCTGTATATACTCACTCACATATACGTCTGATTCTATGAACACACACATATACTGTATGTATTTGTGTGGTCATAGTAATGTCTTTCCAAAAATTGGAACGCATTACCGTAATTTCCAGACTATGTAGCGCACCTGAGTATAATATAAAATATTGTACATATATAGGCTGCACTTCTCTATGAGCCGCAGGTGTCTATGTTGTAACATGGAATATTTACACAGAATATTTTCACTTTCTATTAAATAAATGTTGTTTTTTTTTCGAACTGGGACTGTTACACGGCCTTCGTTCTTGTCCGCAGCAGAGGTAAACTGAAACAAGGAAGTTGGGGGTCCTTATTATCAGCCACACCGAGCACAACAGAACATAAACAGCGTTTTAACACATACGCTACTAATGTAGCATTCAGTAACCTACCAGAGAAGTCGTTGATCGCTAGCGGTATGAACTTCGTTAACCTGTAAAATCCATAAATTAGCCGCATCATTGTTTGAGCCGCAGGGTTCAAAGCGTGAAAAAAGTAGCTACGTTTAGTCTGGAAATTACGGTAAATATTTTTATTGGAGAAAGTGATGTCATACAATTGCAAATGTTGAATGATTTAAATAACTGAAACATATAAAGGAGGTTTTATTTTTTAAAAAACAACCCAAGACTGAGTCAAAAAGTTCCAAGACAGTTTTAATTTTAAAAGTGTAAAAACGTATCTCCAACGTCTCCAACAGCCTTGACATGTTTAATGGTTATATATTTGTCAAGCCTCTTAGTGTAAGATCTGTTTTATTGGATTTTTTAAAGGATAATTTTGCAAACGGAGCAAAAAAAAAAGATTTAAAAAAAAAGATTTTTTTTGACAAAACGTTAAAATTATCAAGGCCTTTTTTTCCTTTTACAAAGAAAATTGAATAGAAAATTCAAAAGGAACTCAGTTTCAATAGAAAGACAGTTTTTAATGCAGTGCCTTAGTGGAGGTCAGACACATTCAGCAGTGGCTTCTGCCCTTGGCCTGAACACACAGACCTTTTCTGATTAGTTTCTGAAATGTAATGTCATTACTCCTGTGTCAAGGCTTTTTTCTTTTTTCTTTTTTTTCATTTTTTCTTTAAAATCTTTAGTGGCTGCTCCTTTTATAACTAAACTTACCCACCAAATAATAATAATAATAATAATTATTATTATTACAACTTTATTGATCTCACACTGAAAACAAAACTTGCGTTAACAGCAGATCTTCTGCACCAGGCTGCCCCTAGGTGGCGCCAAACAATCCAAACCCAGGACTCTCTACTTGCAGATGTGATAACAGCTACATTATGGAAGCAACATAATACAGTAACTGAAGTCCCTTGTTCATAAGACAATAGGGAAATTCACACGGTGACACTTTGTAACCAAAACAGGCCGCCACAGGTGGCGCCGTTAATAATTTGTTGTTCCTCAGGGGATCTAACGCAGACCTTTTTGCATCTAAGGCAGATGTGCTAACCGCTACAACTATGGGACCACTGCACGGTGAGAACCAAACTTCCTTTTGTGAAGTGAGACTGTCAAACAAACGGAGTCACCAAAGCTGATTCTGTCGACGTGAGATGTGTTTGTGAAAAGTTTAATTTCTCCGATACTCTGACAGAGTCTCAGCTCCCACGTACAAATCATTTATTTATTCAACCATTCATTACGCAGTAATGTGTGAATGTCAGCGCGCGGCGGCCAACGTTTTCTTACATTGACCCCGCGGTTAGACAAAGGTCACTCCTTTAATCAAACGTCCTTCAGCTCTGCTCGGAAAACAAAGTGTGGACTCTGTGGCGTCGCCCGGCGTCCGTGATGAAATTGGAAAGATAAACTCTTCTAGTACATTTTTCATTGTGCTGTTTGCTGACAACGGTGCATAATGGATGGCTTCGGGGAAACAACCCATTGAATTTAATTACACTGATGACTGTTTTGCAGCCCTCGACCACCAGATGGTGCTGTGTTTTGTTTTTTCTCTCTGCATGCGAAGGTTTTATTGCCCATTAACAGAAGAAGATAAGGAGTCCTATTACAGAGCAAAGCGCTGGGAAAATTTGCAGAGAAGCAATTTAATGAAAAGTGAAAAAAAAAAAGGCAAGGATTGCTGTGGTGCAAACGATCAGCAGAGCCACGCTGCTGACGAAAGTGTCACCAACACACACACACACACACACACACATTGTTTATGCAGTGGTGGATCTGAGGTCTGTTTTCCCGCCGTTCTCAGAGTCAGGTCAACAGATCTGTGACTGATCCTGACAGTCAGTCTTCTAGAATTCTGGAAGCTTCCTCTTCCTCTTCCTCTTCCTCAGAGTCTTTTACACCCCAAGGCGCCGTGCAGCACACGAGTTTGTTTACGTGTTCCAAGATGGTGTACAGCCCTCCTCCCTCCCTCCCTCCCTCCCCCCTCCTTCCTCATCTCATCACCTACACGGACGATCACTTTCTCACACACAACCATATACTTGCCAGCCACTCACTGAGTGGACCCAGGTAATCCTCTAAGTTATAGGCGGCGCCGTTCGCTGCGAGCAAATCCCATCCCTTCGAAATGCAGACACTGATGTGTGGCTCACACACCTCCGAGCTGAGGTGACATATGTTTGCTGCATTCATAACAAGAGCAGGATATCACAGCCCACAGGAAACAGTCAGCAAAAAAATAAAAAAATAAATCACATTACAGAAACAGGAATCTGATGAATGGAAATTGTCAATTATTCATGTGTAAAAATGTCACATTTTTACATTAAAAAGGCAGATCAACCACAGAGGGTGTCCTCCTTCCTCTCCCCCACGGCCCCCACACCTGTCCTTTTTGTAAATGTTACAATGCCAGGCTGGTCTTTTGCATTAAAATGAACTAGTTTCCCAGCAGAGGGACAAAAAAACAAAACAAAACACCAACAAATGCAAACTGGAAATCAAACTCGGCTGAAAAAAATACATCCAGCCAGGCCATCTATCCTTCCTCACACCAATTCTTCTTCTGAGAAAAAAGAAAAAAATAAATTATAAGAACGCCCCTGGACGTCATGTTGGAGATGTCAACAGGATTATACGTTTGTCTGATTTGCATAAAGAAAAAAACAGGTATTTTCCACAGAAACTGACTTTTGACAAATGTCCTATTTGGCAGTGCTATGAAAAACTGCTGGGTTTTCACTTTTTTAGCCGTATCTGCAGCACAAACAACATTTACACAAAAGTTGATGCGCTCTCCAAAGAGGAACCATCATTTACCATCCACGAAATGATGGAGGGTTACGGAGCCGCCGTACGTTACTGTGTCGGAGCCTTGATTAGCTTTGGCACAGGAAATACGCAAATATGTGAGGGCAGCCGTGGAGGCAGCGATTTATATTGGACTGTGGAGAGGTGGGGGGGGGGGGGGGGGGGGGGGTGTATGTATTTTTCAGT